TAAAAGCCCTCTGCTCTTTCTGACTCTGCCAGGTAGCAGGCTGTGTGACCCTGGGCACATTACTGGACTTCTCCGGGCCTGTTTTCTCTTAAATAAGAGCTGTAGTAACTAACTCATGGAGCTGTTGCCAAGAGCACACGAGAAAACGCACGTGTACGGCACCCCGCACCGTTCCTGACGGGGAACTCAGTAGACAGGCATGAATTCTCTTCCCTGCTCATGTGTGACTTGAACTCTCTCCTGGACTGTGCCCAGAACGTGGCCTTGTTGCAGTCGGGTTTGGAGGCGGCTCCGAGCCGGGTGTCGGCAAGCCCTGCGGGCAGTAGACAGCGCCGAGCTTCCCTCAGCCCTGGAAACCGGTTCTGAGAGGCCGTGCTACCGGCCATCGAGTGGTCCTCCTCGACCCACCTAGGGGCCCAGTAATAAAGTCACTTGCAGGGAGAAAGGGAAGAATATTCCTCCTCTCACTCCACAATTACAGCTGTGAGACGCAGAGCACACAGTGTAAAATGAGGCAGAGCATAATCAGATAAAAACACACTGCGGACACCCAGAGATGCCAGTGTCTGGTACATGAAACCAGATGCTGGCTCTAAAATCCTGCAGCAGATTCCCCAGAGACGCTGCCAAGTTCTCTTCCATTCCCCGCGGCAGGACAAGCAGCTGTCAGGAGTGGCACGGCGAGGACAGGGTTCCTGTGTTTGGAACGGGGGAGGACAGCTCGGCCTCACGCAGAACAGCCGGTCCTGTGCGAATATTCACGAGGCAGAGAGACCAAAGAAATGTCTGTTTGGGAGGAGAATCCCCAAGTAGGAGAAGATTCGTGAGGGCTGCGCTGGGAACCGGAGAGCGACCTCAGCCCTCGAACTGCATTCCCGCCATTCCAGAGCTGCCTTGCCTAACCTGCCACATCCAGTTTGCAGGGCGCAGAAAGTTGCTGACAGCAGGAGCAGGCCTTTGCCTCCTGGGACGCCCTGGTGCCCTCCCCCAGTGCGCCGAGGAGCCAGGAGCCGAGCCCTGGGAGCACGGGGGAAGTTAGGAGACTGATCCAGCTGCGCGGTGAGCACTTTGCTGCCACTCCCCACGGGACAAAGAGGCTTTCCAGGATGCGATCCAACTCGGCCACCGGCATCCAGGCCGTCCTCGGCGACACGTGGAGACCCTCAGAGCTCCCACGCGCTGCTGGCAGACGGCCGGCCGGCCAGGGTGGGCGCTCACAGCAGTGGGTGCCCGAGATGTGCCCAGTCCTTGACGCCCTGCTGTTCCCAGCGGCACCGTCATACCCATTTCAAGAAGAGGGTCGGTGTGGAGAGGTCACGTCTGGCCAGATCCCAACCCTGCGCCTGAGACCAGAACCAGCCTCCTTCCACCCTCTCGAGTCTCCTCCTCCCGGAAATCCCACACCCGTGTTTGACTCCATCCCAATTAATTCCCTGGCCCCCCGGGCCAAGGAGGCAAGCAGCCGACCAGCCCTTAGGTGGGCGCGTGGGATTCACAGGTGCTCGCTCTGGGTTTTCTGATGGCAAGGACCAGGGACTCATCCGCGTCACTTCAAGTAAAGGGGGTTTCTAGTAAGGACACCTGATGAGACTTTGGAGGACCAGATTCCGTAACACCTGTGGGCCTCGCAGAGGTGGAGTGAGAAGGGCGTGCAGAACCCGAGGCTGTCCTGGGGCCACCGCCCAGGGGCTCTTCTCCAGCGTGGCTGACTGACTCCACGGTCCCCAGGCTGGGGAAGCACCGTTCCTGCCCCCTCCACCGGGCGCTGGGGGAGATCTAGGGGTGGGCACAGCACCCATTCTGAACAGCCAGGCACTGAAGGTTAAGAGCCCGAGAGGGACAGGAGTCCCGGGGCCTTTGAAGGAGAGCCCAGTCGTGCCTGCTAACAGTCACGCATCCTCCACGCGTCGCCCTCCGTGCCAGGCTCTCGCCCAGCGTTTCTGCAGGCTGTGACGTTAAGTACTGAGGGGCCGTGAGCAAACGAGACGTCATCTCTCTTCCTGAGGGAACACAGGGTGTGTGCACGTGGCCCTCACACATCAAGAGCTTTTCTTGAGCCCTCGAGCAGCGCCGGCTGGTCCGAGGGTGCCCGCCCGCCCGCCTCCCCCGGGCCCTGCTGGTGCAACCTCAGACCAGCTTCTCGCGGGTGATGGCTTCGCGCTGAAAGTGGCCGGCGTGGGCGGGAGCAGTGGCTAGAAAGAGGGATCCGGCATCCCCAGAACAGCGGGTTACGCTCTCTCTCAACCTCAGTTTCCTCTTCTTTCAATGAGGGGTTTGGCCTTGGGAGTCCCTGAGTTCTCTGCCAACTCTGACATTCTGTGGTCTGTCTTATCCATTTTAGGCCGTTGGTTCATTTCAGTGTTGCAAGGGCAAAGACAACACTTGTCCTTGTGTCCTCAGGCCTAGCGCAACCCTGGCGTGTGGTCAGGATTCCAGACAAGCCTCTGGAGGGATAAATAAATGAGTAATCGAAAAAAAGAAATGCAGACATTGATAAAGACATGTGTAAAGAGTTCATACAAATGATGCATTTTTAGTGTCCCAAATCTGCGCACAGGAAGTAGAATCACTCTGGACTTCAGCGAATATTATTATTTTCTTCAAAAGCTCAGGCTGATTGTTCCTTCCTCTGCCGGGAATCGCTGGCATGTTCATTTTCAAATGCAAACTCAGCAGGAGCCAGGTCCACAAGGGCATCCCTCCTGTCTTGGTGAATCGCAGGTAGAAGCATAGCGGTTCTGGGGTAGAAATCTGTTTTTCATGTAACTTCTATATTAAGTGGTGTCTTGCATCGAAGCCGTGAAGCGGATTAGCGGACCCTGCCCAGAGATCTTACGAAGAAGGAAGGACCCTGGGAAAGAAAGGGGGGTGTAGATGGGGAACTTTCCTAGGGGTTAAGTCTCAGGTTCAGGCCCCAGCTCTTCTACCAGCTGTGGGTGACTTGGGGGAGGCGTGTCCCCTCTCCGGGCCTCTGTGTCATCCTCAGGTCTCTGCCAGCTGGCAGATATTATGCTGCTCTGTCACTTGCGGTCACTAGACAGCCCAAAGACTGTGCCACAATTACTTAAAAGCAGCTCCAAGCACTAAGTGATGGGACATTGGTCACCCATACTAGGCTAACGGGAGCTGCTGTGGGTGCCAGCCTCGGACAGCACCAGCTTCCTGGTCCGGGGCCACAGCATGTTCCTCTCCGTGACCTGGCCCACCCTCTCTACTAGGGAGCCAGGTCAGGGTCTGAGAGATCTGGGGGCCTGCTGCAGGAGGGTGGCTGGGGGGGCGGTGGCACAGGGCTGGTCCCAGGGTGGCCTGGGCAGTGGGGAGGGGTGCTGTGGTCTGGGCTGCAGCGAGGCAGAAAGCCCCACGCAGAGGTTGGAAACATTGACGCTGCAGAAACTTGTGGCTGAAACGGTGATGAGTCCCTTGATCTGGGAGACGGCGGGAGGCCACCAAGCCAGACGGGCCCAGGCTTCCACCTGGGTTCCCTCATGTCACTCGTCACTGTCCTCCCCGGGCAGTGATGCTTCTGGTCTGGACTTTGATTTGGAAGCACGTTTCCCCGTCTGCTTCTCCGTATAAAAGGGGAGACCCTTTGCCGTAGGGTGCTATAGGGCCCAAGGTTCCCCACTTCTGGGCCAGCAGGGCAAAGAGGAACAGAGACCCAGCCCTGTGGACATCTGGGAGTCCCTGCTGGGGAGGGTGGGCTGGGGGTTGCAAGGGAAGCCCTGCCCGAGGCTTGCGGGCTGGGGATTGGGACAGGCTGTCACGTTCAAACAGCCTCCCTCGGCCTCCTTTTTTGAGTGAGGAACAGCTGCTCAGTTTCCCTTAAGCTTGGGCTCTCCAGCCAGGTGGCGGGACGTGCCCATGCGTGCACTGTGCGTGCCCAAAGCCAGTGGGGCCAGCCTCGCAGTCAGTACCGTCCCCTCCACTTGTAAACGTGGGCACGCGGACAGGTAGAGCGCAGTCTCCAGGCCAGGGACACGGGACGAGAGGAAGCGCCCTCTTCTCTACCCGGTGGATCCAAACCAGACGCCAGATGGGCTGGCGGGCAGGGGGCAGGGCTTCCAATGGGGTTGCTGACCTCGGTTTGCTGAGGAAGGATTTTCCAGGGGAGCCTCCCAGTCAGTGTGATTAGGGGAAGTGGCTGCAGTGTTGGAGCCTGGGTCCCCCCATTCATCGTGAGTGTCCTCGCCGTTTGCCCTCTCCCTCGACTGTCCCCTGTTGCTACAGGCGTGAGTTTCAGGAACCCGCCTCCCGTTTCCTCTGCTGCCGCATGCAAGGAGCCCCAGTGTCCTGCAGGGACCACGCTGGCGGGGCATCTGAGCTAACCAAAAGTGGACTAACCTGGACTAACCAAAAGTGTCCTGGGGGGGGTGTCGCAAACCAGGCTGAGGTCACCCCTCAGGCCCTGTCTGGTGAAGTAGGGGCTGACACATTGGTGGTTGGTTGCTTGGTGGGAAAGCTTTGCCCTGCGGCAGAAACTGCTGGGAAAAAGCAGAGTTTAAACCCTCTGCCCACAGAAACAGAAACCTCTAAACAAGTCGCGAGGTCAGGCTAGAGAGCGGGTCGCGTTGGAGGGTGCTCGGCGATTCCCCGAGTGCGACGCTGGAGGCGGCATCGTTGCTCAGGCCTGGGAGGGCTCCTGCCTGTCACCCCCTTACCCACCACGGCTCTTCAGGGCAAAGGAGGCAAATGCTCCACTCGGGGGTGCTGGCAGCCGGGGAGGCTGTGCTTGTGTGGGCCGGGGGGTGGCTATGGGACTCTGTGCCTTGAACTTTGCTGTGAACCTAAAACTGCTTTTGCGAAAAAAGCTCTTGAAAAAAGGAGACTGGGGGAGGCTGACAGAGGGCAGGAGGGACACAGGGTGATCCAGGGGCTTACGTCCTACCGTGGCTGGAGCCCCAGCCTCTCTGCCCTGCTTCCGAGGGGCGGAGGGCGTCAGAGGAGGTGCCAGCAGGCCCTGCTGTGTCACGGCTGGTAGTGACTGTCACTGCTCCCCGCAGGTGTCGTGGAGGCCCCGATGCTGATCCGCCTGGTGAACGGCTCGGGCCCGCACGAGGGCCGCGTGGAGGTGTACCACGACCGGCGCTGGGGCACCGTGTGCGACGACGGCTGGGACAAGAAGGACGGGGACGTGGTGTGCCGCATGCTGGGCTTCCGCGGCGTGGAGGAGGTGTACCGGACGGCCCGGTTCGGGCAAGGTAAGCTCTGGATCCTAGGGCGGGGCCCCGCTCCAAAGCCTGAGTCCCCTCCACTGCGATTCTGCCAGGTGTCACCTGGCCTGGCCCCGGCTACTTCTGCAGCGGGAACTCGCCGTCCCCTAGGCAACCGTCTCCAGTTGTCTTCGGACTGTTGCAATTGTTAGAACCTTCTTCCTTCCCCTGGACCTCCGTCTTGTCTCCTGTCTGTTCCCCGTGCTGGCCCCGGTCCCCTGGCCCCGGTCCCCCGCCCCGGTCTGTCTCAGGCACAGGTCTGGTCTCCCGCCCGGCTGGCTCTTCAGATCTCTGTAACCTCCCTCCCGTCTCTGTCACGGTTTTGTTACTACTTAACACTCGCACAGAACTATGTTCTAAACACAATACAAGTACTCACTCGTCTCATCCACACAGCGCTAGGAAGGAGACATGGATTCCATCCCTGGTTTTCACATGAGGAAACCAAGGCGCAGAGAGGTTGGGGAACTGAAGTGGAGGTGAAACGTTTGTAGAAAAAAATTTGCAGCATTATGTCCCCATCATAGTGCACTGACCTCACTCACACGCTGTTCAAGACCTTGGCTGGGAAGCAGGCCAGGTTCACGAATGATGCACACAGGGCCATGGGGACCTGGGCAGGGCAGGCCTGGCACAGCCACGGCCCCTGGTGCCCTCTCTGCCAGCCCAGGCTGCACCCACCATCTCTTCCTTCTCTCCATAGCAGTTTCCGGGCACCTTCTGCGGGCCAGGCGCGGGGTGCAGGGCTGGGGGACGAGCTGACGAGCCCCGTACTGACCACACACGTGCAGTTTGGAGGGGGGTTCTCAACAGGTGCTCGGCTGAGAGGGGAGGAGAGGTCCACGTCTCCTGGCAGTGGCTGAGCCATAGATGGCCACCTCCCCACCACCACCCTCAGTGCCTGCCCCATCCTGCTTGGACGGGGTGAGCCGTGGGTGGAGCCCAGGCTCTGGACTCAAGCCACCCACGGCAGAATCCCTGGGCTGCTTATTGGCTGGCTAACCTCAGCTTCAGTTCTGCACTTTGTAAGAATTATTGCAAGAGTTGAGTGAGACCCTGCATGTCCAGCAATTAGCTCGATGCAGGCACCGTGGGCCCCCTTCTCTGTGGGTGCTGAGTGAGGTGGGTGTCGTGGAAGTGGGTGTGGCAGAGGCTCTGATCCTCCTCGAGTTACCCTGCTGCGGCCACCGCACGCGCAGGCTGGCTGCTGTGGCCCTTCCTCCTCCTGCTTCCGGGGCTCTTTCTGGTCACTCCCTGCCTGGAAGCCTAGTGGATCTTTCTTGCTCTCGGGACCAAGTTTGGTTCCTTAGCTCTGCACTCAAGGCCTTTCTTCACCCACCCACTGCCTGCCCTGCACGTTGTCACGCTGTCCTGTCCTGTGCATCTGCTGTGGTCCTTCGGGCACGGGTAACGCTGTCTCCTGTCCCACATCTTCTTACGCGCCACCCTCCCGCTGGACGGCCTCTCCCTCCCTCTCCAGCCAGGGGACGCCCACTTAGCTTTTAGAGTCAGCCCAGTTACTGTCTCTGCAGGGAAACTTTCTGGCTCCTTCCGTCCTCTCCCCCGTGATGCGAGCGCCCCTAATCTCTGCTCCCGCGGTGTTCTCTGTGCACTGCTCTGTCACAGCACCTCTGACACTCTCCCGGCCGATCATATATTTGCAGACATCTTGAGGGCCTTAGCTTATAGTTTCAAAACCCAACACCATGCTTGGGACATAATGGAAACTGGGTAAATGTGAGAAGGAAGGAAGGAAGGAAGGAAGGAAGGAAAGAAGGAAGGAAGGAAGGAAGGAAGGAAGGAAGGAAGGAAGGAAGGAAGGAAGGAAGGAAGGAAGGAAGGAAGGAAGGAAGGAAGGAAGGAAGGAAGGAAGGGAGGGAGGGAGGGAGGGATAAAGGAAGGAAGGGAGGAAGGGGAAAGCAGGAAGGATGGAAGGAAGGAATCCCAGTGTCTCCCTGACCCAAGTCCTGCCCAGTGTAATATAAGATGTTCCCAATCCCTGCCGGTTCTCCCAGGGGTCTGGCACCATAAAATTTTTCCTGGATAGGGCTTAGTAATCAAATGATCTGTTTCTCTGGGGAAAAACAAGGAAAGACCCAAATGGGAGAGCCTTGAAGATGTTTTAAATTTTGAATTAGTCCAGGAGGCATGGGGGAGGGAGTGATACAAATGCAGAGATGGAGAAGTAGGTTCTAGAAGTCATAGGTGGGAGTGGGACCTAGCATGGGGGAAGGGGGGTAGGGAAATGGCCCTGGAGCAGCAGGGAACATCTCCCTGTGAGATGGACAGACAGACAGACAGGAGATAAGGATGGGTGGACATCAGACAAATTTGTAGGGCAGAGTGGGTGGTGGAGGGTTGGGAGTTTTCATTTGCCCCTTTTCCTAAGATAAGACTCCAGTACTGGGAGATGGCTTAGTACAGGGCTCAGCCAACATTTTCTGCAAAGGGCCAGACAGCAAATAGTTAAAGCTTTGTGGACCAGGTGGTTTCTGTCACAACTACTCATTTCTGCAATTGTAGCAGGAAAGCAATCATAGACAATATCTAATCAAACAGTGGGGCCATGTTCCAATAAAACTTTATTTATAAAAACAGGCATGGGGCCGGATTTGGCCCACAGTTTGCCACCATCTGGCCTAGTGTCTTGTGCTGTGGGCTGCAGACGTCGTTGTGTAAGGAGCAAAGACTGGGCTGGCCGGGCATTGGAGACCGGATCGTGGTCTCTTCCCCTCGGTAGTTATGGGACAATAGACGCATCATTCAGTCTTTTCTGGTGCCTCAGTTTTCTTCTGTGAACATCTGTTATTAATAAATAGCTGTCCTGCCTACCCCAGAGGCCCAGATGGAAGCCTGTAGGGTTCAGTATAACTTATTCCTACCACTAATATTACTCTAAATAAACATAAGAGTACATTAGCTCTGTCAGGCAGAGATTTTTTTGCTTTTGTCTTTTTTTGTTCACCGAAATATTCCAAACATTCATAATAGTCCTGAGCCCCCAGGAGGCCCTCAGTTATTTGTGGAACGAATGAATGATGCGGCTAAAATAGAATCTACACCCACCTACCCAAGCTGCGTCCCCTTCCCGCAGCTCCTAGTACCCTCCGCATCAGGCAGCCGGGGCTCTGGGCTCAGCGTGGCCTCCTCTAGATAAAACGCACCCTTGCTTCACTTTTCCCATCTGTAAAACAGGGAGCCTAGGACCCACCCTGCTTGCCTGACGGGGCTTTGTCGTGCAGCTCAAAAGAGACAGCCCGTGTAGAAGCACAGATGTAACCTAGGGCCAGAGGAGCAAGTGACTGTCCTGTCCCGGGACCTTGTAAGGATGCAGGTGCTGATGCGGGTCCGGGTGGGGCCCCAGACTCTGCATTTCCGGTCCTCGGGCCACACGAGGAGTAATTGGATGTCAGTTCTGAAGCTAATGCGGTGACTGGTACCTGCAGCTGGCGGAGTCTAGCCTCTGTGACACGGCGTGAGGAGCAGAGAGGGGTGTCGGATAAGGTCTCCATCAGCGACGCCCACGCTGCTATTGTCACTGCGGAGATTCAGTGCCGCTCGCTTAATGACCCTGCTCCATTTTACTGGCCCATCCATGCCGGGACATCAGCCAGAACTCCCTGGCTACACCCCAGCTAGAGTTGAGCTTCGAGATCCTATAGACGCATTTGGGCTGGGTGACCTTGGGCCTGTTCCTTCTTTGTCATTCTCCTGTATTTGCTTTGGGTGTGACCAGTCCCGCAGAGCTCTTGGGCCTGCAGCCTCTTCCTGGCTAATGTGTAAACTGATGTGTTTTCCAGGAGACGTTTAATCTGCAGATGATTGCTCTCTGCCTCTGAGGGCTTATTGTGTAAGAGCCGCGGCTACCCACGCCAGGGGGAGGCTCTGGAGAAGGGACAACGTCCAAGAAGGCGGCGGAAGGAGGCCGCCCCTCCCTGCTGTGTCCCCAAATTCACTCCCCGGCAATCCCATGACAATAGATGCTGAAAATCTCTCCATGACCAAAAGGCGTCTAAGCCACTTAGTGCACGCGGTAGATTCGTTCTTTGCAAGGGGTTTCACACGTGCAAGCCGGGAGCAAATGACAGAGTCCAGAGCTATGGTAGCCCTGACGATTCTGCTGTGAAGGAGAGGCTGGCGCCTGCTCGGAGCTCCTCTTCCGCAGGCTTTGGTAGACGTCAAAGCCCTTGCTTTCCCGTGCAGGCGCTGCTACCTCATTGCCTTGCTCAGGCTGGCACAGCCCGAGATGCCAGAACCCAGTTTATGACCCTTAACACCATGCTTTTTGGTGCCAGGTCATAGCCCTAACAGGTGAGGTGCCGGGTGACCGGCCGTCCTGGCTTGCCCAGAGCTTTCTGTGTTTTGATGTCAGGAGCCCCATGCCCTGGGAAGCCCCTCCCAGTTTGCAAACTGGCCCGGTCACCCCGGATGGTGCAACCCAGATGGGAGAGACTCAAACGGGGGCGTGTCCTGCTGCGCCGCCCTGCTCCTGCTCTCGACCAGCCCCCGGGCTGCAGAGCTGGCCCACTTTGCCGAGATGGCGATGCTGGCTCCGGAGGGCTCGGGCAGTCCCTGAGGTCCTGCAATTCTAACACACTCCCGGTGACGCCATTGCCGCATGGCCAACATCTCACTTTGAGTGCTGAGGCTCCAGCCCTGCTTCCATCGGACCCCTGGGGCTCAGGGATCCTTCCAGAAGGCTTCCAAATGGGCTCCCATTATCTGAGGCCAGGGATGGCCATCAGCCCAGAGAGCCCACCAGTGCCACAGGCGATGTCCCTGCCAGCTCTTCAGTGGGGCCTCGAGGTGACATCTGTGCAGCCCACTCCCCTTTCTGCTGCCCCCTCACCCTGGACAAAACCTCTCCTTTCACTCTCGGAGGCTGCCCAGCTGCCCTGTCCCCTGGTGTTCACTGAGCGACCGCAGGGCCAAGCGTGTGCCTTGTAGGCTCAGGTGCAAACCCCAAGGAGCCCACGAAAGTGCCAGGGCCCCTGCGTGGCACCTTCACACCAGCTGGTTGGTCCCCTTAGGAGCCGGGTTAACAGGGCTGGCTGCAGGGCAAACTGCCAAACAGGTTGTCTTAGGGACCTTGTGTGTAGAGAACTAACCTCATACTATGGTTGAGGGATGCTCCTGTATATCCTTAACTCTGCATCTGGTTTTAGTGTGACATTCCGGCTCCCTTGCCACTCCAGAGCCATTGTTTTGCTGGGGGGACAGAATGAGCCCATCTGCTTTAACCCCTAGAAGATCAGCAGCGGCCTGGCATGGTGGCTCACGCCTGTAATCCTAGCACTCTGGGAGGCCAAGGTGGGTGGATTGCTAAAGGTCAGGAGTTCAAAACCAGCCTGAGCAAGAGCGAGACCCCGTCTCTACTATAAATAGAAAGAAATTAGTTGGCCAACTAAAAACATATATAGAAAAAATTAGCCAGGCATGGTGGCGCATGCCTGTAGTCCCAGCTACTCAGGAGGCTGAGGTAGGAGGATCGCTTGAGCCCAGGAGTTTGAGGTTGCTGTGAGCTAGGCTGATGCTGTGGTACTCTAGCCCAGGCAACAGAGTGAGACTCTGTCTCAAAGGAAAAAAAAGATTAGCAGTGATGCTGGGACCGACAGGCTCGGCTCTGGGCCCTGGGACAGTCCGAGATCTGTGTGACGTTGCGCCTCTGGTTAGGTCCTGCCTGACGACGCCATGAGATAGTGCATCTCAAACACGGCGCAGCGTCTCACACAAAGCATGGGCCCAGTAGCTGGCAAGACTTGGGTTTGGGTTCAGACTCTGCACCTTACACGCTGAGCGACCTTGCACTGGTTGCTCTCTGAGCCTCAGTTTTCCCATCTATAAAATGGGTTTATGAATACCTACCTCAGAGCACCATGGTGAGGACAGAGGAAACACATGCGTGTAAGATGCCTGACATGCAGAAGATAGTCATAGATACTACCGGCATCACCACGGATGATGGGGATTCTGCCCTCAAGAAACTGAACCTAGAAACAAGTATGGGGTTTTCGTGGGGTGGAGAGGGCAGCTGGAAGGCCCCAGATTTGAGCCGGGCCAGCAGAGCCGGGGCCAGCCCCGGCAAGGGCAGACACCGTCATGCTCCCCTCCCCCTCCCGGCCCCCTGCGCACCTGCTGAGAAACCGTGTTGACTTGTCTCTGCAGGCTCGGGGAGGATTTGGATGGACGACGTCGCCTGCAAGGGCACAGAGGACAGCATCTTCCGCTGCAGCTTCTCCAAATGGGGGGTGACAAACTGTGGTCACGCCGAGGACGCCGGGGTGACGTGCAACAGATACTGAAAGCCGAGGCTGGGGCCCTGCGCCAGCCTCCTTCCCGCAGCCCGGGTGGGGGCAGGCTCGGGGCCACCTGACCACACCCCTGCCTGCCCAGCCTAGCACCCCCAGTCCCCAGCCCCCGGCCCAGGGACGTGGGGGCCTGTTGACATTGTCCTCTTGGCGACTGCTCCAAAGTGCGACTCTGGGATCTCCTGGTCCCTCCCTCCCTCCCACCAGGGTCCCTGCAGGGGAGGCCGGGTCAGCTGGATGGCGACCCCGCCCAGCCTTCCCAACACGTGCACCGGACCGCAGTGGCCACGCTCCCCTGGGCCTGCTAGCTGCAGGCGGATGCTGAGAGCATGTCAGAGACGAGTGCCTCGGTGGAGATGGGAGGTGTTGTGGATCGTTTACCCTTCAGATAATTCCCAGACCTCGGCTAGGCCGAATGTTCATCTTCCTCTCCAGCAAGAGGCAACGCTGAGTGACGCGCCTCCCCCCTCACTCTGCCTCTGCACACCGTGTGCTAGTCTGGGGACGTGACGCCCGGGAAGCCAGCTGTAGGAGTGAGAGGGACATGCAAGACCCCCGCAGGAATCCAGCTAGATTTGCAGACGGGGAATGAACCTGACGTTGAATGTCTACCACACTGTGCCAGATGGTATCTTGGGTGCTAAACTCATTTATCCACTTTGCGGTGTTGGTCTGAGGCCTGTCAGTCTGGGAGGACCTCACCTCCAGGCAGCACTTATCGGGCCCCTCCCCTGGCCCACGAGTCAGAAGACAGAATGGCGGAGTCTGTGTTCCCAGCTGAACCTTAGTGTGTCTTTCCTAGGCCTGAGCAAGAAGCGTGGGCTCAAGACACGTGTGACTAGAAAGTTGCACAGCTCTGAGGCCGGGCGCGGTGGCTCACGCCTGTAATCCTAGCACTCTGGGAGGCCGAGGCGGGCGGATCGCTCAAGGTCAGGAGTTCGAAATCAGCCTGAGCAAGAGCGAGACCCTATCTCTATTAAAAAATAGAAAGAAATTAATTGGCCAACTAAAAATATATAGAAAAAATTAGCCGGGCATGGTGGCGCATGCCTGTAGTCCCAGCTACTGGGGAGGCTGAGGCAGGAGGATCGCTTGAGCCCAGGAGTTTCAGGTTGCTGTGAGCTAGGCTGACACCATGGCACTCTAGCCCGGGCAATAGAGTGAGACTCTGTCTCAAAAAAAAAAAAGTTGCACGCTCTGGAACCTACGGTGTGTGAGCACAAGATCAGATGTGAGTGGCGTCCAGGCCTAGCATCTGTGCAGGGGAGATGATTTGGAGAGTGACATGGGAGTTGCTCAGTCCTCAGGCAGTCAGGGTAAAGCCAAGTCACCTGTGTCTCAGCCGTTTGGAGGTGAGGATATTGTGCCTTCCAGGCCTCTTCCGGTGTGAGTCTGTGGTCAGGAAAACACAAGTCCTGGTGGATCCCACAGGGGTTGGAGGAAGTGAGGACTCCCTGTTACCTCCAGGAAGGTAAGGGGTCTCGGCCCCTGCGGATTCATTGTCTACACTCCCCTCCTAGTGACAGGGAGATCACAGCCCACTTTTTAAGCACAGATGAGGTTGAACTGGCTTCTTGTTCTAGAACTAGGGGTACTACATGGTAGCATATGATCACAGACCCACAGGCCTCGGACACATGATCACCTGTCACATCAGGTGATCATCGATCGCTGCCCGGGGAGAGTGAGGCCTGGGCCCCTCCTGGTGTAGACAGCAGAGTTCCTGGCTGACAGTTAAGCCACTACATGGCTCGGGCACTCATTCTCGCTTACAATACGCTTGCTGCTCATTACTGTCCTAATGACGAGAGCCTTTCCTTCTGACCGATTGCCATGTTTACATTACACGCATGTGCTCATGCATCTTCTTCCAGAGCCGATGTACGTACGCATATATAAACATAGCACTCTCTACTACGTAGCTCAACCCATTGCAAAGTCTGCATTAAAAGAAAACACTGCAGGTGGAAAGATGTCGCATTGAACAGAGTAAATTCCCAGCGAGGAGTCCAGTTAGTCCGCCAGTGAAGAGCCGGGTAACTCCATCGGGCTTTTCATTCGGGGAAAACAGGAGTCTCGTTCTATGTCAAATGAAAACGATGTTGAAAAGCGTTTGAACCTTAAAAATGAAAGTCTACTAGTTTACATGCCCACGTAAGAGGACGTGGGGATGACCATGGATCTGTGTTTCAGGGACTAAAGGAAGTCAGGCCTGGCCCCAAATGCATCAGACCAGAACTTTTTGTAAGGAATAATTTCAATAAAGCCAAAAAACATGTCACTAACAAGCTCTCCATCACTTTCTTTCTCATGGAAACCCTGTGGATATGGGGAGGGCTACTGAAATTGGATGGTCTGATCATTTTTCAGTGGGGAGAGCTGACGAGAAGCTACCTCAATACTACCGAATGACGATCCACGCCGTCTGGACCAAGAACATGATGGAACAGGATGTCTCAAGTCTTGTTTGGTAAACAAATACCCTTTCCACAGGCTCTCAGTGTAACAAGAGCGATGATGTCCAACAACAGGAAACACACAGGTGAAGGGGACAGTGGTTGCTTGCTGAGCTACTTAAGGAAAACACAAATGGCACATTGTTAAAAACAAATTTTTTTTAACACCATCTTCATTGCTAGTGAGTTGACCATAGCACAGGTGGCTCTGGTTATCCACAAAATCAACAAGACGAGATGGAGATGATTAAACACTAAGCACATAAACCCCTTTATTCAAAACGGTAGTAGACAAGCATCTGATAGAAACAATAGTTACATCCCTGGAAACTTCGCGGTGCGGCAGGCAGCTCTAAGGGCTTTATAAGAATGAAGTCCCCGAATCTTCGTCACCACGGGTTCTATTCTAATCAGCCCCGTTCTATGTGGGAGGAAACTTAGGCACTGAGAGGATCACACAGTAAGTGGGGAAGTCAGGACTCGAATCCAAGAAACCTTAAACACTCCACTCTATGCAACATAAACAACACTACAGCGGGGATTCTGAAAGGCCAACTAAGGAAAGTGGATCCTAGAGCGGGCATGTTGGAATACAGCTATTCGAGCCCTAGGGTCCTGCTAACATGCCTGCAGACATAAACAGCTCTGCGTTTACTTGCCTACGGCCCCGATGCCCCGCCTGTAGAGAGTAAGCCCACAGCACACCCTTTATCTAGGACTGACCCAGACAGACAGATCACAGATGCCTTACGATCCCCACTGGACTCTCAAAAGAGGCTGGAGACGACTCCTCCCTGGCCAATCCTGAAGATCTAGCTTTTTTGCAGTATTTAAAGGAGCCAGGTTCCAGGCATGGCCGCTCATGCCTGTAATCCCAGCACTTTGGGAGGCCTAGGCAGGAAGATGGCTAGCGCCCAGGAGTTCATAACCAGCCTGGGCAACAAAGCAAGACCCCATCTCCACAGAAAATTTTAAAAATTAGCTGGGCATGGTGGCGTGCACCTGTAGGTCATCCCACCTACTTGGGAGGCTAAGAGGGAGGCTTGCTTGAGCCCAGGAACTTGAGGCTTCAGTGAGCTATGATCATGCCACTATACTCCAGTATGGGTGACAGAGCAAGACTCTGTCTATATATAAATGAATGAGTGAATGAAAAATACAGTTGTGGAGTTTCTATGATCCATTCATCTGCTACATCATCAAAACAGTCCCCAGTGACCCGAAAGACTTCGGGTTTCTTTCTTCCATATCACTCGGCAGCACCTTTGGTCTGCAACTATTCCTAAAATAGTCTCTCTCTACAAAGAATTTCAAACCAAACTATTTTTGCATAAAAATTCTTCCCTCTCTAAAACCATTTGCATATTTATTTATTCTTGAACCACAAACCAGACTGAGGAGGAAGTTGTTTGACATTTGGGGCTTTGTAACATGCTGCAGAGAAGAAATGTCAGCCAGGTCCCCCCATAAACACGTGCCCATCGTGTCAAGTGGGATAACATTTCCTGAATCGAGATTAAGGGTCACTTACTATTTATGCTGAACTTATTTCCTGGGTTATCTAGTTCTAATCAGACACGTATCTTACCTCTCCCATGTGTTTCTGAGAAGTAGTTATGTATGAACACAGAAAAACCAGACAGTTAAGAAACGTATCTCAAAGGTTGGTCTTTTGAGATCCTTCCTGGGTAGCCTCGTATTGGGTGGGAGGGGGCATCTCTGCATTTGCACAGGTGGGTGTGCCCGAGGGGGGTTGGTTCAGGCTGGGGTAGGAGGTGGAGTGGTGGGGGAAGACGCCATTAACAGGAGGAAAATTGGGGTGCGAGTTGGGTTTCTTGTCAATGTAGAGCCTCCTAGGAGGAGGATTCAGAGCTTGAAGTCGGGGCACCCAGAACTTCAAGGTTCTGTTATATAAATGAACCAAGAGAAAGGCGATTTGAGTACAGGATCGTCTTATTATTCAATGTGAACCCTCCCTACTGACAACTTCTTGTCTACAATTCTACACCTGAATCGTGCAATAGTATCTAACAAAATAGCATCTGTAATTAAAAATCTTCCCACAAAGAAAACACTGGGGTCAGATGACTTAAAAGGGAAGCTCTAACAAACATTTGAAGAACAGAGCATCTGTGTCTTGTACAAGAACTCCCAGAGAATAGAAAAGGAGAAAATGCTCCGCCTGATTCATTTTAGGAAATACGAATACATTTCATCACAAAACAAGACAAAAACATATGAAAAGGGGAAGATTATAGGACAATCTCACCCATCAACATCAATGCAAAAACAATAACACATTAACAAATAGAATCCTACAAAATGTAAAAAGCATTATACATCATCCCACGTTGCATGTATCTTAGGAATGCGAACTTGGCTTTACCATCAGAAAACCTATTCATGTATTTCATCATAATAACAGATTAAAGGAGAAAAAGTATATGGTTATCTCAATAGATACAGAAAATTCAATAATCATTAACAACAAAAACTCTTTGCAAACCAAGGATAGGTGAGAATTTCTCATACAGGTATCTTTCAAAAACCTGTAATAAACATACTGAAGTATAAATATTAGCAACCTACATTTTAGACATTAGGAACAAGATAAAGATGACAACAATCTCTGCTACCTTTTAGTAATAGGCGAGAGATCTTGACTTGCATGGTAAGAAAAGGAAAAGAAATAAAATTCATGAACATTTGAAAGGAAGAAACCAAAGTAAGTATCTGCAGGTGATATGACTGTATGCATAGAACACTCAAAATATTCTATGGACAGACTATTAAAATAAATGTGAGAGTTCAATGCCTAAATGAACTAAGATGTAAACACGCATGTCTTCTCACTTCCAGGTAGACTCTTAATTCAGATGTTTTTAAGAAATGAAAAATTATATTGCAGCGTTAAGGTTTAAGCTTCTCAAAAGATATGAATAGCAGCAGAATGCTCCCATTGAAATTTTGGAACAGAAAGTGGTGTGTGGTGGTCCATGGAGCCCTCGACAATCTGGCCCCCGGCCATGTCCCCAGCTTGTCCCACTGCCCCACTCCCACCCCTTACTACCACTGTCCTTCAGGTCTCAGCCCAGCCATCACTGCTTCTGAAGGGCGCCTTCCCTTGATGCCCACACTGGGGGGTGTCCCGTGTCAGCTGCCGCGGTACCCTGCTCTTCCCCTTTCACATCACCACTCTTGTCCTGTGTCTGATGTCCTCGATAGACTGTCAACTCCATGAAGGCAGGAACTGAGCCTTATCCTCCACCGTTTCATCAGCACCTGATACACACTCTGTGCTAGGGGCTGAATGTTTATTTTCCCCCTAAATTCCAATGTAGAATCCTGGCTCCCAAGGGGGCGGTATTAGGAAGTGGGGCTCTGGGCTCACTCTGGTATTAGGAGCGATTAGGTCATCAGGTTGGGGCCGTCATGAATGGGATTAGTGTCCTTATAAAAGAGACCCAGGAGA